GTGTCTCAATCTCCACGTGTGCAAACAAGACCTTTAACTATGCTGGACCTATTGTTCCTACGGGCTCTAAAATTTTCTGGTTCTTTTAGTAGTCACCGATTTGTACTTTAATTTTAAAAATTGTTCTAGAACTTTCCAGAACCTCAGAAGCCCCCTTGACCCGCCTAGCCACCTGGCGTCTATCTCCTCCTCCCCTGCAGAGGGAACCACTGTGCTCTCTAGCATAGCACTGGCCTGTTTTTGAGCCTCATGTGTATGGAACCCTATAGTATATGCTCTTTTATGTCCAGTTCCTTTGCCGGGTTTTTAAGAGACTGACCCACATCAATCTTGCAGATGTGCCTAATTTGCCATCATTGCTGTGTACTACCTAGTTAGATAAGCATGATGTCACTCATCTCTGTTGATGACGATTTGCCCTCTAGCTAGCAGAGGACAAGGGTGCTCTGCACCTTAGATCACCCTTGCGACCGCTAGCCATTTCACCTTCCACATCCTGGCGGAACGCTGTGGGCCTCTCACCATGCTTGTCCCTGTGTTTCCCTGGAGGACACCCGTGTGGGCCACCGTGTCATAGTCTTACTGGCTGTTAGAATATTCTCTTTGGGGAAGCTCCTATCCAGATCTTCTGCTCATTTAGCTCATTGTGAGGTTTGCTTTTGCTTATCCACTGGTGGGAACTCTAGTTAGTGTCTTCTGCATCCAGGCCAGGGGACAGTTCACAAAATTTCTTTCTGTGCACATTGAGGAAGGTAGTCTCCTGGGCTTTGTGCCAGGAACTTCATTACTTTCACCATTCGTAGTTAGCTCTACGATCTGTCTGAAGCAACTTATACGGTGCGAGGTTGGGATGAAGTGTAGTTATTTTCCCATTAGGGAGACCATCACATGCCCAGTGAATCTCAGCACATATTTCTGTGAGTCACGTGACTGGCCACGTATTAGAGTGTTTATGGTTCTTTTGGTCCTCTTTTTCCACTGGCCCATATGTGAACTCATTCTATGCTGCTTCATTACTACAGGGTTAAGTTCTCTGACTTTTTTTTCCTTCAGTATTGTCTTGGCTGTCTTAGGTCCTTGCTGTCTCACCTAAATTTAGTCGGTGAGGGGTGCAGAAAGACCCACCTGTGTGGCCCACTGATTTTCAACAAGAGTCAAAGGTCACCTATTAGGGAAAGGGTAGCCCTTCAGCAAATGGTGCTGGGGAAGGGCCCGTGGGCATGGCTGAGCCTGACCCTGGCTTTGCATCACACACAAAGTTCATTCACATTTATGATGGACTTAGAGGTAAAATCTAAAAGAAGGACTTTGGTGTGCTAGAGTTTGCCAAGCTTTCTTAGGACATAAAAAATAAACTTTAAAACAAAAAGTGTGATGATTGGGACTTTATCAAAATTGCAAAATTCTACTCTTGTCTTCTATATCACCCTTCTCCCTCCCTCCCTCCCTCCCTTCCTTTCTTCTCTTTTTTACATTTTTTTAAATTTTTTGCTTTATTGAAAGACACCATAAAGACAAGCTGCAGACTGGGGGAAATGTCAGCACACACATACCTGATGTAGGACTTGTGTTCAGAAAACACTGAATATTACCCATAGGAACGTGTTGCATTATATCAATGAGAATGAGCCAGTTGAAAAATAGCTAAATATCAAAATACACATTTGACGGAGAAGATGCGTGAACGGGCATCGTCAGCCGTCAGGGGATGAGAGCGACATACAGATTAAGAGTGGTAACCAGAGGACGAGACACCCGAGGTGCCCATGACTTGGGAGAGCATTTGGGCTGTTTCTTACAAAGGTGAAGGTGCATCCACCACATGACCAATGCTGCCTGGAGCGTCCTGCCAGGGAGAATAAAAACGTGTGTCCATGTAAAGACCTCGTGTGCACGGGGAACAATCCAGACAGCGCCAGACAAACCCAGCTGGCGACCAGACGGGCAGACCAGGTGGGCACGTCCATAGGGGGCTCTGCTCAGCAGACCCAGCTGCCCCACGGTGAGCGGGAAGAAGGTGAGGCCAGGGGACAGTCAGGCCAAGGGACGCGCCTCCCTCTCAGTTCTCCTGAACTTGGTGTCGTTGCTTTCTTAAGTGCTGAAAAGATTTACCAGTGAAGTCATCGGGCCTAAAATTTTCTTTGTTGGGAAGTTTTGAATTTTAATTTACTTCAAGGGTATAGAAGTCTCCTTTGTGGTTCTATTTTATTAAATTACTTTTCAAGAAATATTTTATGGAATTGTCAAATTTCTTGGTCTAGAGTTGCCAGGCTTTATTTTTTTTTTTTTAAGCTTTGTTACAGAGTTTTCTGTATGGAGATCTTGTCGTGTTTACTAGATCATTCTTAGAATTTGGGAACTTTTGATGCCACTCATCGCTTTAGAATGTTCATACTCATACTCTTTGTGGCTGGTAAATCAATGTGCCGTTGACTTTATATTATTTTTACATGGACTGTATAACCAAAAGTCCTTCTGGATTTGTTCTTTCTAATAATTTATTTTTAGCATTTTAAATGTATTTTATGTACAAAATGAGACTGAGAGTAAGTCTAGTTTTCTTTCTTATCAGTGCTTATGACTTTTCATCTTACACTTCTCTCTTCCTTCTTCCCTCCTTCCCCAGCACCCTCCTCCCTCCCTCTTTCCCTTCCTTTCTTCTCTTTTTTACATTTAAAAAAAAATTTTGGCTTTATTGCACAGGTTTGGACCCTCGTAGATGCTGAAAAGAGGTGATTATAGTGCACAGCTTAGAGGAAAAGGGTTTGGCATTTCACCTTTAAATGTGAGTTTATTATATTTTTATAATATGCTTTTTAACATTCTTTATTTTTTCTTTTTCTGTTTTATTTTTGATGCTGGCGATCAAGCCCAGGGCCAGGTGCATTCTAAGTCCATGCTACACCCAGGAGCCACGTCCCGGCTGCATCGATGCTTTGAAATACACGGTGAAATGGTTACTCTCCTGAAGCGGATGAGCATCTCACATGGTCGCCTTCCTGTTGTGTGTGTGGCCACGGCACCTAAATCTTTGGATAGCTTCCTGCATCCAACACAAGGTGGGACCAGGCAGTCGGACGGTAGTAGCTGTGGTGCTGGGCTGGACCCTCCTCCTGGCCGGTTCCTCCTTCCCATAAGGGCGGCTCTGGGTCTGTCGGTCCACAGCTCCCTCCCCTCACCCCATGCTGCCCTGGGAACCACAGCCTTCCTCTATGCATTCAAGCTTTTGCTTTTCTTTTTTTGTAGATCCCACACAAGCGAGACCGTGAGTCTGGTGTGTTACTAGCGTACTGTCCTCCAGGTCTGTTGTCCTGTCTCTTTGAGGGGCCTGAGAGATGAATAATTCTATAACCAAATGATTTGATCTTGAAAGTGTTGAAATAGACAAAGCTTGTTACTCAGAGGAGGAAAAAGATGCGTGGGCTGATAAGTACCCTCTATCCAACTATACTTTTCTCTTCAAAACCATAAACCCTTCCTGAAATGTTAGAAATGTTAAAATGTTTCTACTCGTCTCTTTTTTTAAAAATATTTTTTTAGTTGTGGTTGGACAATAAAATATCTTTATTTTATTTTTTTATGGTGCTGAGGATCAAGCCCAGTGCCCTATGCATGCCAGGCCTGTGCGCTACCATTTGAGCCACACCCCCAGCTCAAGAATAACTGACTTGTGCCAGCCGGGAAATGCCCTGTCTCGCTCGGTCCCTTCTTCTTAACTAGGAGATCTGTCTCCAACAGAGAAAGGAGAAGACCCCAATGGACGGCGTCTCCTCTGACTCACTGAAGAGGTGACAAGCTGAACACAATGGTCCCAACGCTTTCCTCGAGTGCCCAGGAGACTCTCCGGGGACACCTGCTCTCAGGGCTCCACCCCAGGCCCCTGGAACATTGCTTCACGAGGCCGGGGGCCAGGCGTGGCTGCCGCTTCTGTTCCTGGTGGGCTGTTTTGAGTTTGATGGAACTGGTTTATGGCCGACCTTTCAGGAGGTACTGTGCAGCCACCCTCATGACCACGCTGGGCAGCGGGGGGAGCGTTGGCCTGCTCTGGCTCTGCTGTTAAGGTGCGCTCATGGTGGCTATTGGCCATCTGTGTGTCTCTTCAGTGTCCTTTGCCCACTTTGGTTTTTGATCCCATTGGTGTCTACGGGCCCCCATCGCAGTCACCATGGTGCCAGAAGTATGGGGCTGTGAATGGAGAATGTTCCAGACTGTCCTCTAAGATACTCCACCTGCAGCACACAGGTCAAAGCTAGAGACTCTCCTGTCCCAGTCTCGGGGGCAAATGATTGCCCAGGACTGTAGTGGTTAGAAAGAGGTAAGGAGGGACCCTGACCTTGGGGGACCTCGGTGAATCCCAGACCTGGACAGGGGGTGTGCAGGGACGGGGAGGCGGAAAACTGGCTGAACTGAACCCTGATTGGCTGAGAACGGCTCTTGGCTATGGCCCTTGGCAAACCCGGCCACCTCTACCTCCCTGTCCAGCCCAACCCTGACGGTTCCCACCATGTTTGCCATCAGCCGTGGTCCAAGTCACAGCCTTGAGTCACTCTGCAGCAGCCTCCCGCAGCCCCCTGAGTGCCCACCCTCATTGTGCTTTCCTCCTGTCCACCTGGCTACTGGCTTACGTCCCCTGTGGCTTCCATCACACAGAAGGTGAACTGAAATCCTTTCTGAGGTCCCGGCCGCCATGCTGTGTGCTGGCCTGGCTGACTTTGCCGCCCAAGGCCTCCAACTCCTCTGTCTCCCAGCCTGGGGCCCCCTCTGGGGGCCTGGGACTCTCCAGTGTGTCCTCTCCCTGGGCTCTGAGTTGATGGTCACCCCATGAGGAGCAGCTCTCCTCTTGCTCCTCAGGACTCACATTGTCCTGTCAGCTCCTTTCTAGAGCCGGTCCTGAGCCACCCTCTCCCCCTCCTCTTCTCTTCATCTAAGGCCACCGGCGAGGGCTCAGTGTCCTGCTGTCTGCTCTGCTCCAGACGCCTGGCTCCTGGTGGACATGGCCAGTCTGCGTGAATGAACGTGGGAAGGCAGGACTCCCACCCTGCCGCTCCACCTGGACGGGCCTCCTCTCGCCCCTCCTCCCACACAGGGTGTCCTGTCCTCTGGAGCATCTGCATGCAGAAGCCTCTGGGGACGCAGTGTCCCTATGGATCAGAGCCCAGCATGGCCGCACAGAGCTTGCTGCAGTGAGCACGCTCAGCCTGTCTTTTGTCCACGAGGGGGGGGGGCAGGACCCAACCAGGCTCAGTAGCCCGGAGGGATAGCATCCCCTCCAGGGGCTCCCTGACCCTCTCCTGGCTGCCCGAGCAGCTCTGGGCAGGGCTCCTGAGGTCTTTCCAGCAAGTGGTGCCCTGCAGAGCCCTCTTGTGCAAAGCCCCTCGAGCAGCTCCCTCACAGCGCCCCTCCCCCTCTGGCCACACCAGCCAGGGCTACCTGATAGCCACGTCCAGGTTGGGTTACACAGGCACGGCAGCAGTGCCATTGGCCACGATGACCAAGGCGACAAGGCTGAGTGACCTGGTGAAAGCCTCCTCCGGCTGGACTCCCCCTTGGCCGGCTGTTCAGCACTGTGCCTGTTTTTATAATGAAAAAGGAAATTATTTCTGCTTTCAGTGATGGCGGCTCCAGAAATGGTGAGTAGGGGCCGGGGAGGGGCGGTGCTGCCCGGCGGAGGCTGCTGCAGGCGCCGCCCTCGGAGGGAGTTTTTCCATGAATTCTGACCCCTTTAGGAAGATAAACGGCCTCATCTGCCACAGGCTGATAATGGGCAGAAGCATCAGCAAGAAGCAAAGCCGGGCTCGGCCGAGCGCGAGCTGGTTAATTTTCTAAGATATTCCTCCAAGTCGCTCCCGCGATGCGGGGAAATGGCCGTGTTTGGCCCGCAACTCTGAGCGTGTGTCAGACCTGTGGAGCCAGGCTCGCTGAGCGTGGCCGGTGGCTCCCTTTGGAATTTCAGCGTCAGAACGGGCAGCGAGGAAGGAAGGGAGGGCAGACCAAAGGCCCCCGTTTGCAAGCCTGTGGGTTCTCCGGGCCTCAGCTCTGGGGCAGGTTCCTCGCCAGCCCACACCCGACACCGGGAGAGAGGCCTGCCATCTATCTACCTGCAGGGCTCTGCCGTTTCCTGGCTCCTGGGGTCCCTCCTGGAGTGGGGAGTGACTGAGATGGCCTGAGCCCTCCTGTCCTTGCCACGGAGTTCTCTTGGAGAAGAACAGGTGTGGCTGCCAGGTGTGACCGAGGCCAGAGCTCCTGGCTGCCTGGCTCTGTGGGGGGCACTGGGCCCCAGAGGCCCTGAATACTCCCATCCTTAACTAGGTCACCTCTGTGGGAGCCAGGAAAGGGTGTGATTGGGGACACCGCGCTGCTGCTAACATGGTGGCGGGCGCCCTTCCCTGGTGCTGGGTACCTTTGGGGACGGGACCTCATGTGAGTGTGGAAACCTGTTGTTTGTGGCAGGAGTGTCACAGGGCCCAGGGGTCTGCTCATGGGGGTGGATGAAGACAGAACGACTTTGAAAGTAGTTTCTCAGCTGAGGCACGACACAGGACTACTAATGACCAAGGGGCGTCTCCCCCCAAGAGCCTTTCGATGGATGCCAAGCAGGTTAAACGGGCAACGAGAAAGCCACTGTCATACAGGGATCAAGTTTTTTTGCTCTTTTTTTCAACTCTGTGGCAAAAATTAGCTTCTCTGTGGTTCAGAATAAACAACAACAACAAAAACCCAGATGTGGAATTGATCAGGATCAGGTTTGAAATGTGACAAAGATACTTGTGACAGTGGAGCTACGGGTGGGGAATGACTGTCTCTGTTCTCCTCGGCTGAAGGACGTGGAGGTGGAGGTGGAGCCAAGCCTCAGAGGCCCTGAGATAGTCACCATGGGGGAAAACGACCCACCGGCCACAGAGGCCCCCTTCTCCTTCCGCTCACTCTTTGGCCTTGATGATCTGAAAATAAGTCCTGTCGTGCCAGGTAGGTGGAACCAGGTGAGACCCTGCGGTGTCCACAGAAAGATGACGGCTATGGCCGAGAGTCCCTCCTTACGTCCGCATGCCCACAGCTGGCTGCCCGCCTTTCCCAGGGCTGCCGGGTCCCAGAGAGAAGGGGGACAAGGAGGGACTGTGTCCTTAGCTGCTTGCTGACTTGCTGCAGGCGGGTGCTACCTCTCTGGTGGGAGGCTTTTGGAGACGGGGCCTCCACAGCTGTCCTGGTCAATCCTGGAGGGGTCACATCCTGGCCAGAAAACCTCTTGGGCCTCCAGGAAGTCCTGAGTGGCAGTGGCCCCCAGTCCTGCCAGAGAACTTCTGCCTCTGACTGCCTTCAGCCAGGACGGGGGAGTGAGTGTGGGTCAGGGCAAATGCCCAGCAGGTTTGAGTGTCTCCATTTGGTCCTGACGGAAGTCGGCCGACCCCTTTCTGTGTCACTGAAGTTTCTCTGCGAGTTCTCCCACGGGCTTTTGCCATTTCTCATTCCGGTTTCCCTCCGTCGGAGGCTCAGGCTGTCCCCAGGTGCCAACGTGACACATGGTGCTCTTCTCAGGTCTTAAGGCAGACTTTGTGTGGGTCTAGGATGACGGTTGGATGGAGTCCTGGGAGGAGCAGTGCTGGGCACCAGTTCCCCAGCTTTCTGGCACCTCTCTCCCTGTCAGTCCCGGGAGGCCAGCCTGCCGTGCCCCCTGCTGAGCGCACTGTGAGGCTGTGGCGCTGCTAGCGGCCAGGGGCCCTTCCCAGAGAGGCTGGCCTTTCTCCCACTGACCATTTGCACCCCCTTACAGAGAGGCTTTTGGCTTTTCACTCTGTCCTGTCCCCGGGACATACAGGGTGGGGTGGGGCTGCCGCAGCTCCACGGCACCTTGGAGGCAGAGAACTGCCGGTAAAGGGGGGCTGATGCAGTCTCCCCCTCGGTGTCCGTCTTGATCCCACACTGGGAGTTGATTCCTAAATCTAAACACACACCACAGCAGGTCACACTTGGGTTCCTGCAGACTCTTTTAATGGTGGACGTCTCAGTAGACATGAGTGGATTTGGAGCAGACTCCTTCTGGGGTGGGATGAGGGTAAAGAGAAACCCCTGCTGACTCAAAGCCTTAGATGTGTCACCATGAAAGGAACTGGCCTCCCATGTTATGTTAAAACTGTTTCCATTATCAACATGTCATTCACCTACCCTCCACCCACCCATCCACCCAACCACCCACTCATCCTTTCACCCACCTACTCACCCACCCACTCATCCATCCATCCACCCACCCACTCATCCATCCATCCATCCACCCACTCATCCATCCATCCATCCACCCACTCATTCTTTTTTTTAGAATTTTAAAAAATTTGTTCTAATTAGTTATACATGACAGCAGAATGCATTTTGACACACTGTACACAAAGGAGCACATCTTCTCCATCCTCTGGCTGTGCATGGTCAGAGTCACTCCAGTAGTGCACTCACACAGGTATGTAGGGTAACAATGTCTGACTCATTCTACGGTCCTTCCCATCCCCACTGCCACCCCTCCCCTCCTTCACCTCTGCACAAGCCAAAGTTCCTTCACTCTTCCCTACCCTCTCCTCCTGCCCCACTATGGATCAGCATCTGCTTATCAGAGAAAACATTCAGCTTTTGGTTTTGGGGATTAGCTTATTTCACTTAGCATGATGTTCTCTGCAAATTTCATTCTTCTTTAAGGCTGAGTAATATTTAATTTTGTATATAGCACATTTTCTTTATCCATTCATCTGTTGTAGGTCTCCTGGGTTGGTTCCATAGTTTAGCTATTGTGAACTGAGCTGTTATAAACATTGATGTGGCTGAGTCACTGCAGTGTGCTCATTTTAAGTCCTTTGGGTGTGAACCAAGGAGTGAGATAGTTGGGTCAAATGGTGGTTTCATTCCAAGTTCTTTGAGGGCTCTCCATACTGCTTTCCATAGTGGTTGCACCAATTTTCAGTCCCACCAGCAGTGTATGGGTGTGCCTTTTCCCCACATCCTCACCAACACTTATTATTGCATGTATTCTTGATAATTGCCATTCTGACTGGAGTGAGATGGAATCTTAGAGTAGTTTTGATTTGCATTTCTCTAATTGCTAGAGATGTTGAGCATTTTTCATATATTTGTTGATTTATTATATATCATCTTCTGTTCCTTGGCCTATTTATTGATTGGGTTATCTGTTTTTTTTTTTTGGTGTTAAGTTTTTTTGTTCTTTATATATTCTGGAGCTTAGTGCTCTATCTGAGCTGTATGTGGTAAAGATTTTCTCCCAATCTGTAGGTTCTCTCACTATCTTATGGTTTCCTTTGCTAAGGAGAAGCTTTTTAGCTTGAATCCATTCTATTTATTGATTCTTTTTTTTTTAAAGAAAGAGTGAGAGAGGAGAGAGAGAGAGAATTTTTAATATTTCTTTTTTAGTTCTCGGCGGACACAACATCTTTGTTGGTATGTGGTGCTGAGGATCGAACCCAGGCCGCACGCATGCCAGGCGAGCACGCTACCGCTTGAGCCACATCCCCAGCCCCTATTTATTTATTCTTGATTTTACTTCTTGTACCTTAGGAGTCTTGTTAAAGAAGTCAGGTCCTAAGCCGACATGGTGAAGATTTGGGCCTACTTTTTCTTCTGTTAGGCACAGGGTCTCTGTTCTAGTGCCTAAGTCTTTGATCCACTTTGAGTTGATTTTGTTTAGGGTGAGACATAGGGTTCAATTTCATTTTGCTGCTCATGGATTTCCAGTTTTCCCAGCACCATTTTTGAAGAAGCTGTCTTATTTCCAATGTGTGTTTTTGGTGCCTTGGTCTACTATGAGATAACCATTTTTATGTGGGTTTGTCTCTGTCTTTTATTCTGTACCATTGGTCTGCGAGTATGTTTTGGTGTCAATACCATGCTGTTTTTGTTACTATTGCTCTGTAGTATAGTTCAGGTTGTGGGATTGTGATACCTCCTGCTTTATTTTTCTTGCTGAGAATTGCTTTGCCTATTCTGGGCCTCTTATTTTTCCAAATGAATTTCATGATTGCATTTTCTAGATGTATGAAGAATGTCATTGGGATTTTAATAGGGATTGCATGAAATCTATACACAGTTTTGGTAGGATGGCCATTTTAACTATATTAATTCTGCCTATCCGAGAGCATGGGAGATCTTCTTTAATTTCTTTCTTTAGTGTTCTGTCGTTTTCATTGTAGAGGTCTTTCACCTTCTTTGTTAGATTGATTCCCAAGTATATATATATTTTTGAGGCTATTGTGAATGGGCCCATCCCTCCATCCACCCATCCATCCATCCATCCACACATCTAATGAGTATTTATCAAATGCTGCTGTTCAAGGCACTGGGGATACAGCCAAGAACAAGCTGCTCAGCCCGTTCAGGCCAAAGACAAAGCACTTGCTCTTCATTTCTCGTCTCTGAGTGGGTGATGATCATCTGCCTTCTACTTCTCTGTGCCCTCTGACCCTTTCCTTCTGCTTCCTCTTTTCCCTCCCATTTTATTTATTTTTTACCATTTTTGTCTTTGAAATCTGCCTTCAGCTGCCTGAGGTGATACTGACCATTTTTAGTCACACTCTATTGCTGGGGGTGAAGCTGTGGTTCCGATGCAGGCAGGGAGGTCTGTCCAGGTCCCCCCCGGGCAAGTTCCCACTCCACGTCTCCAAGACCAGGAGAAGGGGCAGGTGCGAGACTCCCCCCACCCCGCCGGGCAGGGCGTGATCTTGCGCAGGCTCCCTTCCCTTTGGGGTTCCTTCCTTCCTCTTGTTAATGAACAGGACGTCAGCAGAGCTGTGACGTGATGTGTGTGAAATGACTGCTCTTCCTGATAGGAGCAGCGGCAGTGGAACTACTCTTGGTGCCCCGAGAGGCGGGCACTTCTGGGTATCTCGGTGCTCTTTACAGTTACTTTTCCTCCAAATCTGCTGGTTCCGTGGGCAGGACCTGTGGAGGCTCTGAAGTTTCACCCTCTCACGAGCTAACAGGTTGGCCTGCCACAGAGACAAGAGAGTCCTGTGTTGCAGACAGGGACACATGACTCAGCACAGCGGGTGGCTTGAGCATCCAGTCTGTGCCTGCTGCCCCGGTCACCGCCCTCAGCTCCAGAGTTGGGGCGCAGCCAGGTGCAGACTGCGCATGCGGGAGGTTTGCGTCACAGCCGGGGGACCTGTAGTTAAGGGCACCCTAATGTATGTAACGGGCTGCAAGCTGAACTGTGTGAACTTTGCTCTGGAAAAAGACATTTAATTTATCAAACCGGGCAGTGCGCAAGCCGGTCCCTGCCCTGAGGGACTGCTGCCTCTGTTTCCCAAGGCCACCGGCTCCACACACACCCTTGGGGAGAGGCCAAGAACAGAGGCTGTCGGTGTCTGTGCAAGAACATGGAGAAGTGTGTCCCTGTCCTGCCCTGGGGACTCTCTGGGAGTCTGCCTCAAGGGCCCTGTCTAGGATTTACACATTGTCCTCTTCTACGGAGACACATCCTTGGGACCTGGGGCTCCTTCTCCCTCTGAACCAGTGTCCTGGGGCGATGGAACCCAAGGGTGACTTAAAATAGCCTGAATTCATTGTCTCCCTTCTGGGGGCCAGCCCAGGACAGCAGCAGGGTGCCTCCTTGGGAACCTGTGGGGCGCTCCCTGGCCCCTCCCAGCTGCTGGCCTTTTCCGGCCACCTCCTGCATTCCTTGACTTCCGGGCACATCACGCTGTCCTCTGCCCCAGCTGCTCCCTGTGTCCTCCTCTATGCGTGTCTGTCTCAGTGTCTGTCTCGCCCATTCGTAGGACTTCAGTCACATTGGGTCAGGCCCACCCCCTGGGCAGCATCTTGAGTTGACTGCTACAGAAAAACCCCAGTAAGGGGGCATTCAGAGGCCTGGGGGTGCAGAGGTCAACCTGTCCTTCTTGGACCACCATTTAACCCTCACTCCATCTTTCAGTCCAGCATGGACAGACTGGCTGGACTGGGACCGGGAGCACTGAACTTCTAGAGAATGTGGCCCTGTCTCTAATTAAGCCACCTTCTTGGGGGTGCGTTTGCACTGGGGGGATGAGTGGCTAAACTCTGAGATTTGTTGCTCGGGGGCTCTGTGCCCCGCTTGGTTTTCAGATGCAGACGCGGTGGCAGCCCAGATCCTGTCTCTGCTGCCCTTGAAGTTTGTTCCAATCATCGTCGTGGGGATCATTGCGTTGATCCTGGCGCTGGCCATTGGTCTGGGCAGTGAGTACCGTCCATTACTCAGCAGGCTCTCGGATGCTCCTTCTAGCACCTACACTTTCATGTGCTTCCTCACTCCAGGGTCTTGCTGCCCTCAGCCTGAGCTACTGGGGGCTGCTGTCCCTTTGGTTTGCTGACGGGGGGCTCTGTTTACCTGCATGAATGCAAAGCCTGTGGGGCTCGCAGGAGCTGTTGGCCACGCTTGGAGCTTTGTCACCAAGGAGCCGGCCAGGGAGGAGTGGCCCTGGGGGCGGGAGGGACAAAGGGGGCATTCAGGTGGCGCCAGGTACTTTCACAGAGAGGTGCGTGTGGCTTTTGAGAAAGTGGGTCGTTGGAGAAAGGGTATGTAGGAGGGAACAATTTCTCAGTTCTCCTTCCAATGACTGAATCACAGACCGGTTTACAATGCCACCTGCTCGGTCGTGTGGTCCACGGTCCATCCACTCCCGGCCCAGAGTTAAGAGGAAACCGGGAGGCCCAGCAGCTCTGTCGGGCTACCGGCTGAGCTGGCCTACTGCCATGTGGTTTTCTTTGACCTTGAACCCTCTAGAGTCTAAATTCATGTTTAGTTGTGCTTCCAAGGCCAGGCCACATAATAAGTCGAAGTGGGATGCAGCCCCTCCCTCTGGAATTCAGCACAAAAGCTGGTCTGGAAGAAACAGGCCACAGAGGAGGATGCAATTTCAAGACAGGTTTCATTATTAATGGGCTAGTCGGCGCCACGTGGCAGGTGGACAGTTGATAGTGCGGTGCACTGACAGAGCTGCTTGCTAACATTCCTGCCCTCTTCCCTTTCCTCAGTCCACTTCGACTGCTCTGGGAAGTACAGATGCCGCTCTTCCTTTAAGTGTATTGAACTGACAGCTCGATGTGACGGGGTCTCTGACTGCAGAGATGGGGAGGATGAATTTCGGTGTGGTAAGGTGCTGCCTGCTCACTGCAGGAACAGGAGGGGGTCGGCAGGACCAGCTCGGACCCTCCCACCCGAGGCCTTCCCTCAGTCATGGTCATGCTTGTCCTCAGCCGGGATTTAGCTGTCACTAGGCCCTGGAGATGATGGGAGACCAGGGAGGGCTGAGGAGCTGGGGAGGCTACAGGAGCAGAGAGACCAGGCCTCGGTGCAGACAGTAAGGCTGCCCCTGCTCTGTGGGGCAGCAGCTGTGGGTGAGCCTCAGGCCAGATGTGGAGGGGGAGGGCTGGAGCTGGCCTTAGAGCAGTCTCTGCCCAGGCCGCAGCCTGCATGGCCGCTCACAGACCTTCCTCCCCCACGGCCAGTCCGGGTGAGCGGTCAGAACGCGGTGCTGCAGGTGTTCACAGCTGCTTCGTGGAGGACCATGTGCTCCGACGACTGGAAAGGTCACTATGCGAACGTCGCCTGTGCCCAGCTGGGGTTCCCCAGGTAAGTTCAGGAGCGTGTCCACCCCAGGCCAGGCAGCGAGAGTGCAGGTCACCGCAGGTAGCTGAGCACCTTCTGCTTAGCTGTGAGCCAGCCCAAGTGACTCGCTGAAGTCGCCCAGGAAGCCGCGTGGGGGGGGTCCTCAGGGTCAGGCCAGGACCCCGGATGCCTGCAACGAGTGCTTTGGAGTTGAAAAATGATGGCTCTGGCTCCCCACTCCACAGCCAGGGGCAGAGGTGGACACGGACCCCTTGCTCCTGGTGGCCACCTCCATGTCTGCGTCTTCTTCCCAAGAACCCTGCAGCACTCATCTCTTAAAAAGCCAGAGGTGCGAAGACAGGGGTTGAGACACTGTTTAGCCACAGGCAGAAGAAAGACGGGCAGCGGATCCTCTGCTTTGTAGTCAGCTTGCGTCTGGGGCTGGGGCGCTGGGGCACACCTCCGCCCCACACGGCCGCCCTCCCTGTGACTCCTCACGGCTGCTGCCCCTCCCTGGTGCCCTGGCCTCGCCTCACTGCCCTCCACTCGGGTTCCCCGTGTGCAGGGGCAGCTCCTGGGTTCCCGCTCCTCTTAGGGACTGGGCAGGGTCGGCTCTGGTCAGCGTGGGCTGCAGCCCTGTTTTCACCTCTGGAAACCGGGGCCTCCAAGCCTCGCAGCTCTGACCTTCCACAGAGTCCTGGTTTCATACCCCGTGTGTCCCGAGCACTGCTACAGTCGCTCCCACAGCTGCCTTGGAGAGCTACGTGGGCTCCAAGCGCAGAGACCCGCGGGGACAAGTTCACACCCCACACGCGCGCGCGTGCACACACACACGCACACGCACACTCACACATGCACACACAGACACACACACATGCTCCCACGTGCAGCACTGGAGAGCTTCCTGGGGTGGTTTCTGCTCCTGCTCCTGCCTCTTCCTGCTTTAGCCCCCCCTCTCTGCTTCCTCCCCCTGGACTGTCCCCCACCCCCAAGAAGCCCGGCCCCCTCCCTCCCCTGCAGCCCTGATCACGCCTGTGTCTCCCACCCCACGCTCCCTGCTCTCTGTCCTGCCCATCTGTCGCCTCCATTGCTCAGACCCACTTTGCATCCTCGCTTCTTCCTATTTCTCTTTGAAAACCTTTCTTTGAGCCTCGGCTCTACCACATCCTATGGCAGATGTTTGTGATAAACAGAAGACATAAACAGACCCGTCAGACAGAGAGCTCAGGTTCCATCGCCCATGCCTGGTTTCCTCCCTGAGAGCAGGGGCTGCGGGAGTGGCCTTCAGGCCTGGAGGGCGCTGGCACCAGGCAGCCTGCCGTGACTCTCATGCTGTGGCTGCTGCTTTGAGCCATTGTGGGCCCCAGTTGTGGCACCTGGAGGCCCTCTGCAGGTCACAGGTCCCCGCCCATCAAGCTGCCTGTGCACTCAGGCTCTCTTGGGACCAGCCACAGCATGCTCCTTGGTGCCAGGGCCTTCTGCCCTTGCCGTGGTCTGAGCACTCCTGGGAGGGCTGCCAAGGTCACCGACGCAGGCTCCAGGACGTGTTCCCCAGATCAGGCTTGACTTGCCCTCCTGACATGTCACTCCCTGCTCTGTGTGACATCCTGCCGGCTGAGCTGCTGTGCACAGAGTGCAGAGTGAGCAGCCCCCTGCCCCATACCTGGCTCATTCCCTAGACCAACTTTCCTCTGGGACTCTTCAGATGCTAGAACTCTCTCTTCTTCCCTTCTCCCCCCCCACCTCCT